CCTTTGCAGCCTCCTCTTCCTGTTTCTTTCCTCCATGTCAGGTGTCACAGCCTGCTCCATCCACACCTTCCGGGCCTATCCATCAAGTTGGCTTCCCTGTATTCCCTGGAACTCAAGGACGAGGTCCACACCAACTGTCCACTCTGTGCACTAGCCTGGCTCCCCTGCCAGATCCTGAATAATTTTCCAGAATGCAAGGTCTGCGCCTGCCTTGTGCTCTCCACGCCTAGCGATTTTTACCAAGTGGTTCTCAGAGATGAGCCCTGTGGGAACCCCTCTCACTAGGTGGGTTGTGGAGAGGGGCAAGCTAAGAGGGGACAGCTGACAGCTTACAGAAGGAGGGCAGGGGAGCTGCAGAAAAGAGCAAACACTGCCTGTCACAGGCATCCTGGGCTTTGTGGACCAGGAGTGGCATTCCTTGGGAAATAGCCTTGTGCAAAGCCTTGACATTGGTTGTCTTCATGGAAAAGCTGTGAGCTAGGATGTAGAAATGTGGAAAAGAGAAACAGCAGCACTAAGAAACTATAATCCCAGCACTCTGGGAGGCTGAGGCAGGAGGATGGCAAGTTCAAGCCCAGCCTGGGCAACTTAGTGGTTCACTGAGATAGTGTCTGAAATAAAAATAAATAACTAAAGGACTGGGGATGTATCTTAGGGGAAGACCTTGGTACTGAAAAAGAAGGAAGAGAAAAAGAGACAGACACACAGATAGACAGACAGAAAAAGAGAGGAAACTATGTAAAACCTTCACCTTCCAGGGCTATGTAGGAGGAAGTGGTTTCATGATAATTGTAATTATGGGGAAAAATGTAGTTTTATGCCCCTTTGGTGCAAGGAAAAAAACCAATTAAATACCAAGGTTCAGTCAGTGTTGTGGCTAACCTGCCTAATCCGTTAACCTAGCTTACTTAGAAGGGAATAAATGCACAACATATTAGAAAATTTCATAAACATGTTTTTAAGATCATTTCATCACATACCTGCAGAAATTCACCCAATATAACAAGATATAGCAAGGCATTGTCAAGTTAATTCTGTCTTTGATTTTAAAATAGAAAAGGTAACTATGGATTTTAACATGCTTCCGTGTACAAAATTAAGGAGTATTTTTCTGCACAGCAATTGCAAATCTAAGAAATCCAAGGGAGAAAAACAAAAATACAACTTCCCGTTTCTACTAGAGCTAGCTACAGTCACCACATGTAGTGCCATGAATGGCTTATATGTCACTTGTTCCTGTAACATGCTACACATGACACCTCCGTCCACACTAGGGTCCCATGAAGTCCAGACTACTATTCTCCTTGTTATGCAGATGGGGAAACTGAGGCATGGACAGGACACCGACTCCCGGTTTCTAAGGTAACCTGGAACTACTGGGCATGTTTTTAGCTACCGTCAGCAGGGCTCCCATTCAGTTAAAGACAGCGTATCACAGCAATCCACACACACCCATACAGCACAGCTCATGACAACTAAAGTTGGGCAGCTGCCGCCATGTGCATCAGTGGATGAATGGCTGAAGAATACGTGGTGTTCACACACAGTGGAGTACTACTCTGCCATAAAGAAGGATAAATATGATCCATTTTAGGAAAATGGGCATACTTTAAGACCGCAATGTTAAGTGAAATAAATCACTCATGCAAGTTTAAATACAGCATGGTTTCTCTTCCATCAACAACCCAAAGTAGAAATAAATTAAAGCACAAAATAAAAGGGGGATAACAGGAATCAGGGAGATAGATTTTTTTACAAATTGGAGACGATCCAGTGATTGAGGAAGGGAGAAGCGGGGGAAGCCCAGCGCATGAAAAATGGAATTAAGATGTATGACGTCCATGAACTAACTCCCCACAAGCAAAGCAGATGGGTACTGCAGACATGGTCACCACACAAGCACGGGGGACATGGCCATGCACTTGTGGTACAGTGTGAGATCCTAGCAGGAGGTGGACAGGGACCTGCCGGCAGACAGGCCACACTGAGGGGCATGCAGAGTGTTGTGATCCAAAGCTCAGAGCCCCATCCCCAGGGCCTGCAAATAACTACATTCTTGATGTGGTTGACACCTGGGGACATCACCTCTGGCCAAAGGCAGCAGCGTGGCAGGGACACCAGGCTCCTCAGCCTCCGAGTCCAGTGTGTACCTCATGACAGCTACACAGCCATTCAGGAGGCTTCCTGTGACACAGTTTCTCCTAAAGTCCAGACCACCCAGGGCTGGTAGCTTCTGTTTGCTTATTAGCCCAATTCTTGGCATTTTGTGCCAAGGTGACTGGGAGGAAGCCCATGTCCTCCTGCCTCCCTGACCAGGAGGTCAGGAGCAAAGGTCAGCACTTGTGCCTTCATAGACATTCAAGCGGCCCCGCCTTAGGACGGCTCAGCCACCTCCAATGGGAGAACTACTTAACTTGTGCACTTAGGGAAACCTGATGATTGCCATGTACTGAAATGCTGTCACAGGAAATGGGAACGAGCTCTGGGGACACAGATCATGCCCTGAACACAGGTCTGCAAAATGTGTCCCCTGAGCTGGCTGGGGCTCATCCTCTATCTCGGTGGAGGCTAAGTGCAGAACGAGAGGCACTTGGCATAAATGGACTAAAATTCAGCTGCCAATGCAGTTCTGGGGTGGGCTGGGTGCCTTGTTGTGTGGGATCCTCTCTGTTTCCGGAAATAATGAAAGGGAGATGATCAAGTTGCCACTCAGGGGGACAGCCTGGATCAGAGGTGTCCCTGCAGCGTGCTCTGGGTGTAGCACGGTGAACACAGTGCTGGGAGTGGCTGGTGCGATTCTCAGATTGGCACAAGAGGGTCAGGGGTTACTGCGTCATGGTGAGGACACACTGTGTGATGCACAGAGCTATGCCAAAGACAGGACAGGGATCTCTGCTGGAGGATGTCCCTTCTCAGCCACATGGTGGACGCGACAGGGCCTTAAGACTCCACAGTGAGCTCATCTTCAGGAAATAATCAACACAGTGTAGAGTTCTAGGTTGAAGAAGAGGTACGGAAACCTCACTTGCAAAGCAAAACTTTAGAAAGCCAGCAAAGCAGAATATCATTTACCACACAAAAATGTTTCTCTGGAGATAGACGCTGTGATTCAGGAAGATACATGTGATGCACACAGAGAAAAAGGTATGAACGATGGAATGTGCAGTGTGACCTGGGTTAGTTTAAAATTGCATGTGCAAAGAACATGAAGAGAAAAGCTACAGGACAGGAGAAAACCTCTGCCAGCTATTTCTCAGACAAAGGACTAACATCCAAAATAGATGGAGAACTGTAACACGAGACCCTTAAAGAAGGACCCATTCAAACAATGGGCGAGTGAAATGAATAGACGCCCCTCAAAAGAGGGAGCACAAATGGCCAATAACTACGAGAAAAAATGGTCAACACCTCTGGCAGTGAGAGAACACAAATTAAAACACTGAAACCCACCTCCTTCCAGAAAGAATGGTTATCTTCAAGAAACCAAGTGATAACAAATGCGGGCGAGAACGCGGGGGAAAGGAACCCTTTTACATTGTCGAGGGGAATGTAAGCTAGTACAACCACTATAGAAATCAATATGGCGGGTCCTCAAAAACTAAAAAGTAGAAATTTCATCTACCCCCACCAGGAGTATTGTTCCACAGAGTTAAAGACAACATATTTCTGTGATCCGTGCATACCTGTGTTTACAGCACAACTCACAACAGCTATATCCTGCAAGCAGCCTGCATGGCCATCAAGGCATGAAAGAGTGAAGAAAACGTATTTACACACAGTGGAGTATTACTCTGCCACAAAGAAGGATAAACATGAAGCACTCATAGGAAAATACATGCTCCTTAAGACCATAATGCCAAGTGAAATAAATCAGAAACATGAGCTTAAATAGTGCATGGTTTCTCTTATGTGAGGAATGCAAAGTAGAAAAAGGCAGGAAAATAGAGTAAAGAAAATAGTTGGATCCTTTGTGAATAGGAAGACAAGCTGGACACAGGAGAAGAGGAAGGGTGGGTTAGGAGAAGTGAAACTAAAAAGTAATGTGTTGGCAGCAATGTGTGCTAATACATATAAAATAATAACAGCAAACATGTACTAATAAACACAAAAATAAAAAGCTATACATGCGAAGAAAGTGATCACTAGGAGTTTTAAACCCATGAATTAAAGGTGCTAACTACTGAACTTGTGGATTTTCAGTGGTTTATTATTACATGTAGTATTCAAACATTCCAACTTTTCCATAATGGACATATGCTAATTATGCAAAAAAAAAGAAAGAAAGAAAAAAAGAAAAGAAAAACAAACCCTATCACTCTGGCGGTCGGACATGAATGCAAATGACATTGAGAGCTAAGTTGCTGAGCGTGTTGACCCCAAAGGTAAAGGAGAACGAAGATACAACGCTTGAAAAGATGAGATTTTCTTGCGCAGTTAGAAATCAACTTTATAGTAGAGCAGAACAGCAGGCCCAGCAGATTAACTCCTGTCCCGCAGCCTTGCGGGACTCACAGCCATTTTAGTAAAAGAACTCCACCCACTTAGCATCTCTAGCAGAGCCATGAACCTATGTCCTTCGGTCTCAGGGGTGGCCACCCCCACGCTGGCCTCAAAGACAGGAACAGAAGTAACCCCAACCCCCAGCTATCACATTAGTAGAAGGAATGAGTAAATCCAAAACGCCGTGCAAAAAATATTAAAAATGCCTTTTTGGAGAATGTTCTCTGCTCCATTTAGTTTAGTTTCTGATATATCTGGATCACACACATGCTCTCATCGGCGTAGATATAAGCAGACATACACATTTCGCCTGTATGTTTAGTGACTAACAGTGACATTAAATTGAAATATTGAAAATCCAACATGAAGAGGCACTAGTCAAAGAAAGGGCCTTGACTCAGATGGCCTCATTTCAGATAAGTTGTGACCGCACTCAGAGTTCTGCTTGCCTTCAGGGAACATCCCCAGTACAAATCTAAGTCCCGCAGGAATGGACATACCGCACTCCAGGATTCCTCCAGGGTCAGCGGGGGAGGGGCCGGAGTCCCCGAGCCTGCGCGTGGCACACCTGGACCTGGGCAGCAGCCTCCGCGTGGCCTTCCCTGTGTAGAGAGGAAGGAGAAGCTGTTATGAGGGGTGACTTTCCGGCAGGTCAGGCACCTATGTCTCAATGGGGCACTTGCACCCCTGTCTGCACTCAGCCCAGGGCCACCCCTGGAGACACAAGGTCCCCTGTGTTTGTTACCAGTGTGGGGCTTTCAAGCCAAAGGTCCGTGCTTTAAGCAGGACAAAAGTATTAAGTCAGGTGGAGGAAACTGGTGGATGCCACCATGTCAGGTTCCTCTGCAGAGACCCTACCCAGGGGCCACGGGTCAGAGAGGAGCTCAGGGCCTGAGACGCAGTCTGCTGTCCGCTGGGTACCACGTGACTAAGAGGCTGGGCACCGCTAATGCACCTGCATGGAAAAGCTACCGTCTGCTCAGGTCCAATAGCATCTCACATCTGTGTGCTCAGTTAAAACCATGTCAGAACTAGTGCCACGGAGAAAGAATGCTGCACCAAAGCAGCTTTTCCAGTACTCTGGGAGGCTGAGGCAGGAGGATAGCAAATTTGACCCAGTCTGGGCAACTTATCAACTTGCCTCAAAACAAAAAGAAAAAAAAAAAAAAAAGAAAGAAAAAAGGGCTGGGCACAAAGCTCAGTGTGAAGAACCTGGGTTCGATCCCTGGTACAATAAAAAACAAACATAAAGAAATTTTTAAGAAAGAAATTAAAAAAATAATAAAGGCAAAGAAATCCCAAGATAGGATGTTTCCAATAGATCCTGGAAAACCAGGCCCCCCGAAAAAAAGGACAATTTCTTTGGAACATTAATTCGACTTTTTCCAACTACTAACCACATGCATTCCAATTTTAGCAGCTCTGTGGGAGGAAACACGAAACGTGAAATTCTTTGCTACCGAGTTTGCGCATGCGCCTTGGCTGTGTGGGCCAGCGTTCTCTCTGAGCCCTAAGGTCCTCACCGGAAGTCACACTTTGCACTCTGTGTGTCCTTCCAGGGACGCCATCTTTGTAGATACATGAACAAATTGTTAATCATTCTCTATTGCTTGCATGGATTTGCTCAGGTCTTTCCTTCCTGACACAATGCAGTTATGTTGATATGATTTCTTGTCACTGGAATTCACAGGGACACGCACACATGTATGCACACGTGTGCACACACTTCCGTCACACTTCTCAACTCGCTACCCTTTAGAATGATACCACACTATTCTGGTAGTTTTCCCTTCCACCAATTTTTCCTTTCTTCCTGTCTGACGGTGGAATTGATTTGTCTTAGGCAATGCCAATACACATATTACATGTAATGAAGTAAAATTTGCTGAAATGTAAAAATTCACAGGGCAAGTCAAATGCAAGCAATAAAACCAAATTTGAATTGCAAACAAAAAGGAATCTCCATACTAAGAGCTGCACAAATAAGAACAAACAGCTACCAACACTGAGGATTTAGGAGAAGTCTCTCTGGAGATGCATAGGTCCAAATCCCTGCCAGTTCTCACAGTGTGTCACTGTGCCCCTGCCCTGTAGGTACTGGAGAACTGGCACACAGGGGAATAGGGGTCTAGGCCAGCTCCATCTGCCTGCAGGGCATCTGCTTCCCCAGGCTGGTTTCTCAGGTGCTCACAACACTGATCCTGGGCTCTTTGTTTTTTAGAAAATCCAGCCTTGGTGCTTTTGCTGTGGTTCACACACAGCAATATTCTCTGTCACAAACAGTCCATGGCTCTTCCAAGACAACATCGTTACTACACTGTAGAGGCCCTTCTGTTCATTCAAAATCCAACAAAACAAATGTACGCTTTTAAAAGAAGTAATACAGATATCAAGTTTCTGATGGTTTCTAATAAATGAGGGAAAAAGAATCCATTAGAAGATACTTATGGGAATGTCTGGCCTTGGGATTTTACTTTGTGAGTGAAATGGTAGCAAGTCTGGTGTGTACTTGCGGCTGCCTGTTGTGGGTATGGAGTCAATACAACGTTTCAGGGTAGAAGACATCGTCTTTGGCCAGAAGTACCCCCAACTCCCAAACCCCAAGAACACAGGCAGGCATCAGGAGCTACTCCAGGGCAGGGCAGGGCAACTCCTCCATGGCTGGTCGCCTGCAGGATGGGGAAGGAGGACCAGTGACAAACATGCTTGGCCAAGCTCTGTTTCCCATCCTGCTGTTATCACAGGAGAAATTACACAGAGACACGTCTGTGTGTCTATGAGAGGTTACATACACACACATGCACACAAACACACACACTTTTTATGCAACGTAGTCCATGTTTTTATTTGGTTTTTGTCACCTATATTTCTTAAAAACATTCAAATAATTCCCAGAAAGCTAAGACTTCTTGGTTTATCAAAACGGTAATGGAGTTTAAACATTCTCTAGTTGATTAGACTAAGTTGCTCGGTGTTATCTTTTGCAATCTCTGTTGACTATCAGTATCTTAGTGAAAAATAGTAGACACAAGCCTGCACCGACAGTAGGTAAGTTAGTCCCTTAGTCTATAAGGGATCGAACCCATGACCTTGTGCTTACCAGGCAAACACTTAAGCCACTGAGCTAAATCCCCAGCAAGATGCCATTCTTAAACATGTGGTGCCAGTGTCACTTGCAAAGTGAGGGTAATTGAGTGGGTGGTCTCAAGGGCTCCTGTGGCCTCTGGAATCTAGCCTTAGCCCTCAGCAAGCTGGGGAGTTCGGTTTTTAAAAAATTTATATCAATAATCCAGTTAAATAAGTTATTATATACTGTCTTTTCAAAAAATAAGTTTATAGCATTCCTGTATGGATACGATATGAGGCCTCCTGAGCAAAGGAGAGAAGCCTGGCCTTCCCAGGCCATGGATAATAGCAGTGGTGCTGTGAATCCAGCACATTAGGCAGAACCTTCTGTGACCCCAGCACACTGGCTGGGCCAACCCTGTGCAACCCCACTTCCCTGAGCTGACTCTGGGCTCCTGACTCTTGAATCTCCAGGTTGTCCTGGAGATTTGGGCAGGCCCAAGGCTGGACATTAGCTTGCCGGCAGGGAATGGAAACCCACCACCAGGTTCCCTTGGACTTTTTAGCTGTCTCAAAACAGGAATCATCCTTAGCAAGAAAACTCACTCTTGTTTTCTGCTGTGGCTGCCTTCATTTCTGCACAGAAGGGAGAATTGTGGAGAACAATCTTACAGTAGAAACTAGGCAGAAGGATTGGGCACCGATTGTGGGATTTAGTCTCCATGGCAAGGTAAGGCATGATAACATGCTTTCATAGATGGCAAAGCCAGGCCCAGAGACGCCAAGTAACTGGCCTGAAGTCACTTAGTTTATAAGTGATAGCATATTGGGTTCAAATCCTGACTATCTAATTTCTGACCATGTGCTCTTAACAACCAAGCTCAACCCTCGTACAGTTAAAGACAACTTTTTTTTTTTTTTTCATTTTTATCGGTATTAGGGATCGAACTCACGACTGCCTGCTTGCAAGGCAGGCACTTATGCCGCTAAGCTAAATCCTCAGCCCCTAAAGACAACTTTTAAAAAATTAAAATATTCACAGACCCAGACAGAGAGAAATCTCTGAAAGAACTGAGAGAGGATTCCCTGTTCCCTGAGTCACCTGCAGCTGAGCTGTGTGACAGAGGCTACCAGCTCTGCCTGTGTACACCAAGGTGGGTGACAGCCTGGGAAAAAGAATGTCACGTAGCTCACTAAACACTCTATAGTGGTCACCAGGGGACAATATATTTTTAAGTTAGGTAGCTGAATCATTAAGATTAGTTTCATCTGTTTCTCTTTTAAAAAAAAACACATTTACTATTTACTGGCACGGGTAACATCCTATGGGTGATTCTTCAAGTCACATCATATTTCTACTGGCGAGCACTGATCTAGTTTTACTACTCATCAGGCTCATTTTACAATGAGCCATATTTTGGATTTCTATCAGAATGGGGCTATGTTTGAATCTATCCCTCCTAGAAAAGAAGAGAACCTATTGGGTCAGTCTCAGGATTGCCCAGTTTATATTCTTCTCAAAGTCAACTCCTACTTAACTCTGACTTACTTAACACCAGTTACCTTTCTAAGATAATGGTTTAAAAAAGAAAAACAAACTTTCTGCCCTTTTACCACAAGCTTCTGGCTGCTTATTAACTTGCTTTTCACAAGCTGTACTGGTCACCACAGAGGCAGGTCAAGCACCTCTTGTGACAGAGGGGCCGGTGGCAGTGCAGTCTGGGAACACAGAACCCTCCAGGGACTGCACCATGAGGCCAAGGCAGGAAGGGATGGTCCCTGGGCCAGCAGTGGTCCTAACTGATGGTCAGCTCTGCAGGGTCAAAATAGCACATCCTATCTGGAGTTGGCACACGTGCTCTAGCTTCTTTGCTTATTAACCCAAATGCTTGTTTCTTTGAGCATTTTTCTTTATAGCATCACATTTTTTTCTGGCTTATACTATATGTTCCCATATTTCAATTATGGTGGCAGATAGGTTCATATTTTTAATTCTTTAAAAACACTGTGACTTTTTCAGGTCAGTGAACTAATTTTTCACATACATCCATGGAGAAGCTGGGCTTTAAGAAGTAAATGCAAAATTGTCTTCCAATATATCAACATATAGTAACAGCTGAGGCCAATAACAACAAGCTCCTAAGCAGCTGCTCTTGGCTGCATTGGCGGGGAGCTGCCTTCTTTGGGCCTGGGTGAGATGTCTCTTGGCCCTTGCTCTGAGGTCCTGCAAACACAGGCCACCCTGCTACCATGCAATAAAAGCAGCCTGGATGAGATGACCCCAAACTCCTCTTTAAGTGGGCTGACTGCGTGACCAGTATTTACAGCGTCTGACCTGGGAGACACTGTGTTTCTTTCTTAGTATTATCCAAGAAGACCAAAAGGGAGACATTGGTGTAGACCCAATTAGCAGCCCACAGAGTCATCAATCCCCTGCCTCAGCTCACCTGCGTCAGGCTACAAACAGCGCTGCACTCCAAGTCAGCCCCATGGGTTCCTGAGGTGGATCCCAGGAGGCGGAGGAAGGGGGGAATGT